AAATAGGTAAATAATTCAAGTCCTTTCATTAATAAATCATGTGACAGTGTCATTGAGTGATAACATTGCAATTTAGCTCTTCACTTTGTTTTCTCACTTGGCTACCATCTACAACCCTTTAAACCCAGTCTTAGTGTTGGCTCATCCCTACTTCCCTCCTGCTGTCTGGTTGGTTCCCATTTCACCTTTAAATTAGTTGAGTGTCTGGGGGGAAGGGATAGCTAGGAGCTGCAATCAGTTAACGTAGGTTTTTTTCCAGTGTGGAAAGTGTCAACAAAGTGGAGGCAGCTCTGGGAGGTGAGGTTTCAGTAGGTCAGCAACAGTCAAAGGATTACAGTATCATAATAATCCTTGGATTTGATATAGCACCTTATCACGTCCTCGAGACGTCTCAAAGCGCTTCACAGAATATGCTGTGAAGTGAATTGACTGTGTATTTTGTGGGCAAAACGGGACAGGCAATTGCACAGCAGTGTCCCACAAACAGTCGTGGATTAAGTGACCAATTTATGATTACTATTATTTTTTTTGGAAGCAATTATTACCTCTGGAAAAGCAATCTGCTAGTCGACTAACAACCGGGTTCTTACTTACTGCCAGGTAAACAGAGGTGTGTGGAGTAAGGAAACTTGTCTAACATCTCACCCTGCTGGGAATCGAACTAAGGTCTTCTCGCCTGCGAGGCGAGTGCTCTAACCACTGAGCTACAGAATCCTTTTAATACAATAAATTGTTGTAATCCATTTATACCAATAATAAAAGCTGTAGTTAATTCCCCGGGACAGACCCGTTTCATTGTTTTACTTGTTTGCGCTTGTAATTGCCAATGACAAGCGGTTTCCATCTTGAGGGGATTGTTTGATCTGTTTCACGTCTGTGGCGTTCAAAGGACAAATATGTCTACGTATGATAGATTGCCTTTCTGCCTGTTTATAAAGTTTAAAATACCAGATACTTGAATCACTCCATTTACGGTAAGAATTAGTTCAGTGCTTTGGCCATCTTCCCTGACTTAGTCTAAAATTAGTTCCTCAGCGAAGGTTTACAGTAATCCAGAGACGGCCCCTCACTAACTTGACGTATCTCACCGACTCTTAAATCGATTTATGAGTGAGTTTGTTGAAAGCTTTTCTGTGATGTGAAAATCTACGGAACAAGTTGTTCCTCGGGCACTTTATCCATTTTTATATTTAGTGAAAAAGGGGATTTGCTGCTGGTTTTCACAGATTCACATAAATCCAATTTCAAGACTCAACTGGAGATCACAACAACTTGCATTTACACAGCACCCCTCACTCAGGGCAGGGCCCCAGAGTGCTTGACGGTGGTGAAGAATGATGCTGAGCCAAAAGGGAGTGGGGGAGGTGACTGTAAGCACTGTCGAAGAGGAAGGTCTTCAGGTGTGACCTGAAGATGGGGAAGGAGGGGGCAAGGCAGAGGGATTGAGGGAGCGTGTTCCAGAGTTTTGGGACCTAGTGGCTGAAAACGCGGTGCATTTATCAGTGATGTTTAATAATACAATTGGCTAAGCTTTTTGCTCATGCTATATCATAGATATACAGTACTGAAATCCTGACACATGTGAGATGGTCTATGCTACAGGATTTGAACCACCCAACCTGAATTAAGGAAAACAGAACATAAGGACTCAGTCTTGTCTTTCAAATTATCTAATTCAATTATCCTGGTTATGCACAGACCACACAGTCAAATTAAGTATCATTTATGCTATCCCTCTGGCCTTCCACCTGCGGAGATCCTGAAGCAGCCATCCAGCTGCTCTATGATCGCCTCTCCTCCACCTTCAACTCCCTTGTCCCCCTAGAATCCAGGACCATCTCCAAACCCACCCGATGCCCCTGGTACAACAACCATCTCCGCCGCCTAAAGACCCAAACCTGTCTGCTCGAGCGCAGATGGCAGAAAACTGGCCAGTCCCTCTCCTCTGGATCAGTCCCTGTCTCCCTTAAAACTGCTGTCATCACCCCTCCTGAAAAACCCCTCCCTAGATCCACTCTATTTCTAATCTGCCCTTCCTCTCAAAAGTTTTAGAACGCGTTGTTGCCAACCAACTTTGCGCACTCCTCCTCCCATTCCCTCTTCGAACCCCTCCAGTCTGGTTTCCCCCACAATACAGAGACTGCGATTGTGAAAGTCACAAATGACATCCTCTCCATCTGTGACTGGGGCTCCCTCTGCCTCCTTGTCCTCCTGGACCTCTCTGCAGCGTTCAACACAGTCGACCACACCATCCTCCTCCACCGCCTTTCCTCTGTCATCCACCTCAGTGGGACTGCACTCGCCTGGTTCGAGTTCTACCTCACAAACCGCCAGCAGTACATCTGCACAAACGGCTTCTCCTTCCGCTCTCACCTGGTTACTTGCGGGTACCCCAAGGATCCATCCTTGGCCCCCTCCTCTTTCTGATCTACATGCTCCCTCTTGGGGATGTCATCCGCAGACATGGGGTACACTTCCACATGTACGTGGACAACACCCAACTCTATTTATCCACTTCTCTTTGCGACCCTCAGTCCCCTGATGTTCTGTCAGCTGCCTGTCAGATCTCAGGGGCTGGATGAGCGCAAATTTCCTTCAGCTGAACGTTGACAAGACGGAAGTCATCCTCTTTGGCTCTTGTCAACGTCTAAAATCTCACGGCTCTCACCTCCTCCACCTACCCGACCTCCCTCTAAGACTCTCTGAACCTGTACGCAACCTAGGCGTCAGGTTCGACCCCCAATTATCCTTCCTTCCCCACATCTGATCCCTCACCAGCACCACTTTCTTCCACCTCCGACGCATCGCCCATCTCCGCCAATACCTCTCCCCAAATGCCGCTGAAACCCTGGTCCATGCCTTTGTTACCTCTCGGCTGGACTACTCTAATGCCCTCCTCGCCGGTCTCCCATCCACCACCATCCATAAAATCCAAATCATTCAAAACTCTGCCGCCCGCATTCTCACCCGCACCAAACTCCGCTCCCCGATCACCCCAGTCCTTGCCAGACTGCACTGGCTGCCTGTCCCGGAGAGGATCGATTTCAAGATCCTCACCCTTGTATTCAAGTCCCTGCACTCTTCTGCACCCCCCGACCTCTCTGACCTCTCTCCTCAAAGCAGTACCCGTTGCCTTCATTCCCCCGGGTCTGGCCTCCTCCTCGTCCCCCGAGTCCTCCGCTCCACCCTCGGCAGCCCTGCCTTCAGCCACTATGGCCCGAGGCTCTGGAACTGCCTTCCTCACTCCCTTCGCCTCGCCCCCTCTCTTCCCATTTTCAAGTCTCTGCTGAAGACCTTTCTTTTCGACCGCACCTTTGGTCACCTTCCTCCCCCCCCCCCTTGGCTCGGCCCTGGGATCCGTTACTGTGAAGCGCTCTGAGACGCCGTCCGGCGTGGAGGTCGCTATATAAATCCAAGTAGTTGTTGTCGTTGGTACAGTATTTTAATAATCCAGTGCTATTAATTATGAGATGCATAAAAGATGGAAAGCAGTAGGGGGTTGCCATAACTGCTTTGGCCAGAAGGTGGCTCTTAGATCCTCTCCACATCTCCTGCACCAGCTGCAGTGGCTCTCCCTGTCTCTGATTATTCCCTTGTGTTGACAAAATACCTTTAACCAGCCTTTCCCATACAAAGCAGGAAGTTAATGAATTGGCTGATTTCCCAATGGTTGGGCTGTGATTTAGCAGCGACCGGGTTAGTACTTGGGGAGAGATGTGAAGTGTGTAACTGCCTCTCACTCCAGCGCTGAGCGCTGCTGATAAACAGACTTCTCCTGGGCAGCCGATTACTGTTCATTGTTCTTCTCCTCTGTTTTGTCTGTTCCTCTGTTTCTGTGCATTGACTAAACCTACTTTGGAACGAACATTCACTATCTTGGGATGTCCTCCCGACGTGAAAGGCGCTACGCAAACTTCTTTTGTTGTTGTTATCTGAAATGTCCAGACTCGGTATTCAGTGTGTTATACAGATGAACAATCAGGGTGTGGTTTTTTTGCAGAGAATCGTAGCATAAACTAGATGTTGCCACAGTCTGTGCTCCAGTGTATATGATTCTAACAGTAAATTTGTACTGGATACTCCTTTGGTGATCCCCACATTGTGTTTTGCTAATAGTTGCACTCCTCAAGCTGGGAGGAGTGAGATGCTATGGATTCTGTTGCAGTTCTCGTCCAAGTCACTTATATCAGTTTATATATATCAGGTCAATGCACCACTGGCAGCCAGTTCACAACAAATCTTATTCCTGGGAATGTTTGCAAGGGCTTCAGATCATAAACTAAAAACGCAAAGCAAAGTGGTTTGTAACTTTACTGAGTTCATCAATCACGTCACTGCGTGGCTTCTATTAGGTTTATGCACTGTATTCGGTTCACTTCATGATTTTATGAATATAAAATCCTCTCCCGATGTGAAAGGCGCAATGTAAATGCAAGTTATTGATTGTTGTGCGCTGACTGTCGCACTATTTAAGCTGTGCAGCCAAATGTATTTTGCATTCTGAGTTACGTTACTTTATTTTGCTGCTGATAAATGCATTTTCCCAGCTCAAATGATCATTTTACCCCACTCCGTCCTGAGGGATTATCATGGAGGAGAGGAGTCTGCAAGGAACACCAGCCAGGGTTTAAGATCTCTAGTTTGGGAATGTTAATTTCCTGTTTCTTAATTCTCGTCAGTAAGATTGTGGATGTTTGCCATTGACTAGTCTTTGTGTTTGATGTTGCTGATACCAACCCATTGTCACGGTGACTGATTACGAATCTCACATTGAAACATCCCAGTAAAACAATTTTAAAATTGTTTAAAACAAAGACCTTGATTTTTTTTTAACTTCGGAACTTCCAAAACAATTGCTTTTTTTTTTACCCCCAAAAGAATTTTATTAAAGCTCAGTCTTTTCAGACGGAAAGCCATTCATTGCTTTGAGAACGTGTAAACTGTGCTGAAGGGATGTCTGTGTATTTGCTTCTCACACAATTAAACACTGTTGACCCGAGTTCAATAATTCATAATTTATTGGCATTTCATGTTAACTGTTACATTGGTTTATTGTAAATTAGGCAACAATATCAATTTGTTACAGTGTGAATGTATACTCCCACGTACACTCAGCATTCTTCCTGTGTGCAAACTGGTTGCCACATTTCACTCACAAAATATACAGTCACTCCACATAACAGCATAGCCTGCGAAGCACTTTCAGACATCTCGACGACATGATAAGGCGTTATAATAAATGCAAGGATTATTAATATATGTAGTCATCCTTGCATTTGATATAGCACTTTTCACATCTTCTAGACGTCTTCTAGCCGCTTATTATTCCTCGCAAGCGAGAGGACCCGGGTTCAATTCCCGGGCAGGGCAAAGCATGAGGCAAGTTTCCTTACTCCACACGCCTCTGTTTACTGAGCAATAAGGAGGAACCCGGTTGTTGGTCGATTGGCGGATCGTTTTTCCGGGGTAATAATCCCTTCAAACATATTTTTTAAATAAATAATAATTTGGTCACTCAATTCATGGCTGTTTGTAGGACATTGCTGTGCACAATTGACTGTCCCATTTTGCCCCAAAAATATACAGTCAATCCACTTTATAATATATCCTGTGAAGCGCTTTGATACTTCTCGACGATTTTGATAAGGCGTTATAGCAAATGCAAGGATCATTATTATTATTATTCCTCTTCCCACAGCAGCTAGTCCACCGACCTCACTTATTCTTCCTTGTCCCATCTTCCTCTCCCCACTGCAGGCTCCTCGATGATCTTCAGCCGCCAAGCCTTGCCCCCAAGAACAGTATTTCCAGGAATCCCCTTATCATCACAGAAGGGATTCCTGGGAAAACTGGACCCTGAGGAGAAGGGCACAGGAAGATCGGAGATTGAAGCCTGCTGCAAAACAAGAGATTCTCAAGAGAAACAGAAAGCTGCATTCCTTTCACCATGAGCGACTGGCAGGAAGTCTGAGAACGCTGCCTTTGTAGATTTATTTTGGGATAAAGTAAACAAAACTGACTTAAAACTGAGGTAAATCTTAATATTTACATCAAACAAGGGCCAGGATAGACTCTCGGTAAAATACATCAGGAGTTTTAGGAGAGTTACAGAGCAAGGATTTACGTAATCAGGAGAAACTCTGCGACCTGTTAGTTAACCCACAAAAACCCGCTACAAACCACACTGAGCTTCATACATTACTACATAAGTCTACATTAGCTCTGTCCTCTGGAGATAGGTAATTAAGCAGGCATTGAGGTCTGGAAAGTGTTAGTTTTACATGAGAATAGAAGAGAAAAGAACTTGAGCCTAATACCCTACATATATTACACAAAGAGTATTGTAACCTGGGCTCTAAGTTGTGAAGCTGATTAATTTGCTAAACACATGCTATCTTGGAAATAGAGACAGTTAGACAGATTTTTACTTCAACCTCTTACTTTTACATGTTACATATGATCTCCTGAACCATTACCACATATTCAGAGCCACTAGATTTTTAAAAAATCATTTTCAAAGAAGTCACGAAAAAGATAATGAACAATGACACTTAACTTTTTTCAGAATCCGCGCGAGGAGATTACCGAGGAGTTTATTAATTCTGATTTTAATGTACTTTTCAGTGCATCTGTGAGTTCAGAAACTGAATTAGAAGTTGTCACTTCAGAAGCCATTTTCACCTCCTTTTCCCCCAACTCTCTCAAGAAACCATGTGATTACATCAATCGCAGACTCACAGCTGTCAATCGATAAGTACGACACTAAAATCTTTTCAAAATGTGATTTATTAGTGATTTAATTGCTGTATAAGTTCAGGGATCCCTGATTGCGCCTTTTATGGTGTAAAATTGGTAAGAATGTTCTTTGGTACAAGCTTGAAATGAACCGTTTGGTGGCCATCTGCTGAACCGTTTGCCTGAGTCTAACGTTCTTTATCAATAGAAGATCATCCGCGCAGAGTGTTACCTTGAGAGGTGTCGGGCTCCTTGTTCAAGGCCATTGATGCAGTGTTCATCCTCCAGAGCTACAGTGCTTCATCTCAGACTCACAACTAACCAGAGATGCAGCACTGCACCTCTGGCTGATTGATGTGTTGGCCGTCCTCCCTCTTCACCATTCATCTCTCAGAGCGCAGAACCTCAGTCTCTCAACAACAACAGCAACAACTTGCACTTATATAGCACTTTCCACGCAGGGCAGCGTCTCAGAGCGCTTAAAAGTGGCGGAGTCCGACTCAATAGCTGAAACAATGCCTTACACACCTAGTTAGTGCTTATACTTGAGACTAATTGTGATAAAAATCCAGAAACTCTCCAACTATGTAAATGTTAGAAATGTTAAGATTAAGAAGTATAGACCCCGGTATAAACAATTCATTTGTGCTTCTGTGGTTTGTTGATCACTGGTGTGTACAGTACAGAGCTCTGTCACCACTCTCAACCCATCACCAAGACCCACTCTCTCTTCTCTCTGATCCGATTTTGCTTTTTGCGGAGGTGGATTGCAGTCATTCTCCCCTCCGTATTGGGAAAAGTGTCGTGGAGGCAGATTGTGGAAGAGCAAAGCTAACCCTTTGCTTCAACCCTTTTCCCAGCATTTCTCAAAGGATGACCCAATCGACCCCGATGATGTGGCTTGCTGATTTGTCCCTGGCTTCTTGCCTGTTCCAGCTCAGTGAGTTGTTGGGTGGTCGCACCTAATTTTAAAAGAAAAAGAAGGAAAGACTTGTTAGTTACCCTGCTAATGAATTAGGAGAAAGAGTGGGTGGATGTTTGACTGCAGATTGATGCAAAGAAAATCATTGGATTTGTTGGGTCCTGATAAATTCAACTAATCTCACTAAATACTAGTGTTAACAAGAACAACAAGTTGCATTTATAAGTCAACATCAAAGTAGTATAGAGTTTGCATCTGTACAGGCGCTCCAGGACATCTACCCCGCATGAAGGGGGCGATATAAATGCAAGTTGTTGTTGTATTAAAGTCAGTTGAATTGTAAAATATACAATTAAAGACAAAGTAAGATTTAGATATTAGATTATTGCCATACTTTGGTATTGAAATAATAATAATATAATAATGATATCGATATCACGGCTTATCACATCGTTGAGATGTCTTAAAGTGCTTCACAGGACAGACTGTAAATTGGAGTGACAGTGTATTTTGTAGAAATATCTACACCAACAAGTAATTAAAAGTTGTGTCTTATGAAACTGAGTGTTCGTGACGCTGGCTGTTTTGTTCTGTTTACTAAGTGAGATGTGGGATTTAGTGACCACATGTTAATAAAGTTATCACTAACCCACTTTAATTAGACATCAGTGGAAAACCACCAGTGTGTTATACTTCTGTTGCTGTCTGGTCCCCCCCATGTTCCCACAGTCCTCCTATATCTCTGTATTTGCTTTCCTCTCCAGGGCATGACATGAGTTTTCTTGGATGTGGAATTTGGTGTTTGTCCCAGGAGAGCAGCTGATCTGTGACAGTTTGTCATTAGTCCCCATTAGGGCTAATGTTTTCCATGATTCTCACTGTCGAGTTCCCAGGCCTCTTACACACACAGCAGTCAGTGTCCCTTTACAGTTTGGCCTCCTCGTTTGATTTATGGGTATTTATTTTGCAGACCCACATTATCTCCAGCCATTTCCAGGAGGAAATGTGTGCAATACTTCCGAGTGCAGCGACCAGCTGGTGACCAAAGTTCCTGTAGACTTCCTGTAAATCAAATTATATTTAAATCCCGAAGTATTGAAAACTGAGAAACTGAGCCCTGTCATGTAGATACTTTCAGTACTTTTGGAGTTAAATGGCATTATAGGTTGTTGTTAGTCGATCGGCTGATTGCTTTCTGTGGAGTAATAAAAATCTTCTAAAAAAAATTGGTCACTCACTCTACGACTTTGTGGGACACTGCTGTGCGCAATTGGCTGCCGCCTTTGGTCCACAAAATACACAGTCACTACACTTTACAATATATTCAGATGCTCAAACGCCCCAAGATGCCGTCCGGGATGAAGGACGCTATAGAAATGCGAGTTCTTGTTGTTGTTCACCGATATGATAAAGCGCTATATCAAATGCAAGGATTATTATTATATTGTGAAATGTTGGAGTTTGTGCTGAATAAAGATGGGAGGACAGAGTTTCTAATAAAGAGGTTTAAGAGGCATGTGTAAAGAGAAAATAGCGGATGGGGGTGAAGTGTAGAGCGATCTTTGGATCAACAGCAACAAATGGTAAAGTTAGTATTACAGGCGAGGACTGTATCCAAACCGTGTACAAAACTATTCAGTTGGAAATCGATTCATGGAAAGAAACTGTAACATACTGTTTTGTCTTTACTTTTCAAAACATGTTTCATAAGCAGCAGAGCTGGAAAGAGAATTGGGCAGAATATTGTTGGCTGAAATGATTAGTGTTTTAAACTAAGCCACTGAGGTTCAACTTAAAACTTCTTAGAAGAAAAGGGAGACGATTTGTATTGGGTGAAAGACTGTCCAGAACATTCCACATTCGGAGATTACAAAACCAGTGGAAAGACCAGATGAGGCCGGATTCACTAAACGCACAGAACCTTAACGTGTGTGTCACAGAAGCTGCCGATAACAAAAATAACCTGTCCGTACTTTCGTGTTTTTCGTTTGATTGTTTTTTCCGGGTCTATTCTGAAAACTGCTTCTCAATCAGGATTAAAGGATAGTGGGAATCTGGAACTCTCCCACCCAAAGGGCTGTGGATGCTGGATCCATTCACCTTTTTCAAGACTGAGGTGGATAGATATTTGTTAGATCAGGGTATGAAGAGATATGGGGCAAAGGTGGGTAATTGGAGTTGAGGTACAGATCAGCCATGATCTAATAGGATGGTGGAACAGGCTCGAGGGACTGAATGGCCTCCTCCTGTTTCTACGTTTCTGTGTTTCAGTGAAGTACAGGAATTCAATGGCTCAGATTTTATTGTAATATCCTCAGGGTAGGAGTCCTCAATCAAAGGCCGTTTGAGACATGGATTGAACGTGACTGAAGCTCGCTGTATATAATATTTGCGACATCAACAGCAACAACTTGCACCTCTCACACAGGGTAGCGTCTCAGAGTGCTTTATATCAATAGCACGCTCTGTTTTCTGGTTGCTTGTAGCTGAGTAACATTGCCAAGTCTATTGTAGTCACTATACTGTACAGTCGACAGTTCTATTTTGCCATGTGTGCTTTTCCTGAAATGTATACTTTATTCGGGGTTTGGACCCAACGAGTGTAAACACAGGATGTGACGGCCTCTATGTCACCACAGCTGTTCTGTGTGCTACTTAAACATTGGTAGTCTTTAAAATGTCTCCTTTTTATAATATTGACAAATAGCTTTGGAATTTATGTGCACAAACTGAATTCCATTGTCAACCTCTGTATGTGGTAACGTGCCTTTCTGTCCCTGGTCCTGAGTTAAATCATCTGGAACTCTGCATTTGGCAAAGCCGCAGGGAAAGTCAAGCCCCCACACACTCACTAGCTCTTGGGATGTCCTCCCAATGTGAAAAATGCTATACAAATGTAATTTTGTATTGCATTGTGTGTGTGGGGTGAGGGTGGGGGGGGGCTGCTGTGGGGGTAGGGTATACAAAATACAAAACAATTTTGGAAAAGTCCAACTGATTCTAGTTTACCCCGAAATCGAGTTAACCCACCGGAGTATTTGGACGTCTCAACGCACACGCTTTTGGGGCGACGTCAGAGATGAGAGTTTGATATTAATTTAAGAATCTGGCTTCAGAGCTACACAGAAACAGCAGGGAAGTGTCTGTCTGTCACTCAAACAGACGGTCCCGAATGAAGATGATTTGTCTGATCAGCCGCGGCGATAGAACAGGCTCAAGGGGCTGAATCGCCTCCTCCTGTTCCTATGGTTAAACCCAGGCTGGACCTCACACTGTGCTCCGTGCCTGGTTTCCTGCAATCTGGGAGCAGATAACAATGGGCGTGTGCTTCACTTTATTTAACTTTCCCCATCTTTTGGCTGAAGTTTTGATTGATCTCCATAAGATCCTTGGAGTGGGGATGGGAGGGCTGGGCGGGGGCATCTTGCCCATTAACAGGCTGCTGTGTCCTGTGTTGCAGGGAAACAAGAATTCAGATTGCCATCTGGGTTCTGGTCCCATTAACTGCACGCACTCAGCTCTTCTCAATCTGCACGGACCCATGGGAGGCCAGAGGCCAGCGATGGATCTGAGTGACAACTGGTGTCTTGACGGAGCAGGTCTGTCACCCCGCCCTGGTACACAGTCAGTGTACAATCAGTCGCCTGCTTGGATAGTCAGAACCCAATGCAACTCTCCTCCCTCCAGGTCCTGCCGTTAGCGCTGAAGAAAGTCATCACGTTTGTGCTGGTTTATAAGGGTCATAGGAACAGGAGTAGGCCATTCAGCCCCTCGAGCCTGCTCCGCCATCCTATTAGATCATAACCTCAACTCCACTTGACCCTGCGCCAACCAAGTTGTAAAGTGAGCAGTTTAGTCTCCGTTCTAGTCGGTCATTGTTCTGAAGTTAAGTTTACTTTTTGTTGTATTTCAGCACGAAGCCCTTGCTTGCTGAGATCACCGTGACTGATTGCGGAGTGTGCAGAATTCTGAAACCAATTAAACTACACGGATTCTTATCAAATCAGATGGCAGAAATCTTTCTCTGTTCGTTCCATCTGCTGTTTGTTTCCCTGAGGCCTTTCTATCCCCTGTCCTAACATCAAAACAAAAACCCCCAAAACATTCCCGCAAGGTCACCATTTCCTCAGCGAAGAGATAACATCTACGCTGGGTTTCATATCAAACATTCAACCTTTTATATGTGAGCACATAAGCTGAGACAAGTTTCCTTACTCCACACGCCTCTGTTTAGCTAGCAGTCAGTAGGAACCTGGTTGTTGGTCGATTGGTGGATTGCTTTTCTGGGGGTAATAATCCCTTCCAAAAAAATAAGAAGAATAAGAATCAATTCACTTTACAGTCTATTCTGTGAAGCGCTTTGAGACGCCTCAAAGACGTGATAAGGCGCTCTATCAAATGCAAGGATTATTACTATTATAATAATAATTTGGTCACCCAATCCATGACTGTTTGTGGGACACTGTTGTGCGCAATTGGCTGCTGCTTTTCGGCCACAAAATATACAGTTAATTTACTTTACAGTATACTCTGTGAAGCGCTTTGAGATGTCTTGAATTTGTGACAAGGCGCTATACCAATGCAAGGGTTACTGTTATAAACTGAGGCAAGAACTAGACAGCCTGATTCAGACAGAAACTGGCTCCCATATCACTACATATAAGGCGCTATATCAAACGCAAGGATTATTATTATTATTATTATTATTACATCACTGATTCTCTGCATATCAAACAAAATATGATTAAAGCGGCCAGAAGCTAATTCAATTTGCTGAGGATGATGAGATCATAGGGACCCAAATGGAATTAACTAGAGTTTAGAACTTGCTAACACAGACCTGGGACCTTGTTTTTTTCAGGTTAAGGTTCCCTTGGCTGCCGTGAAGACTTCTAATCCCTTTGGTAATCATCTTTTCCCCCCTTTTTCTGAAATGCCTGACCTGAAAATAAAGGCTGTCGCTTTCATAAAGGGAGGATGGATATTAATAATAAACCTTGCATTTGATACAGTGCCTTATCACATCATTGGGATGACTCA